GGACGATGGGAGGGCTTGAGACTGGGCTTGGAGAGGCTGGGAATGTTGGAAAGCGGAAGGGGGAGGAGGTGGTGTGGGTGGGGCTGGGGAGTGGTGGTGCTGGGGAAGGCTAGGCAGACCAGAAGCTGGGCCATGGCGCAGGAGTGAGGGAAAAGGACACTGAGCCTGAGGAAGAGCGGCCCTAACCAGACTGGAGCCACCATTTTATTTTATTTTTATATTTTATTGATTTTTTTACAGAGAGGAAGGGAGAGGGATAGAGAGTTAGAAACATTGATGAGAAACATCGATCAGCTGCCTCCTGCACACCCCCCACTGGGGATGTGCCCGCAACCAAGGTACACGCCCTTGACCGGAATCGAACCCGGGACCCTTCAGTCCGCAGGCCGCCGGCTCTATCCACTGAGCCAAACCCGTCAGGGCTGGAGCCACCATTTTAGAACATTGATTACTCAAGGTCAGATGCAGTGTCTCCTGGGTATTTGGAACACACATACCTTGAAAAGTAGCAGCTGGAGGGAGATTTCAGCTACGGATTTATGCACATTCATATATCACCCAATTTCCCTGGCAGGCAGGCCTGTTCCCTTCCTTTTAGCACAGCTCCAGACCTGCCCCTGCTGTCTCTGCTGCTCTCTCCGCCTCTGTTTCCCCTACGGCCCAGTCACCACCACTGGCCGGCCAGCTCACTGACTGCTTCCTCGCCCCTCTCATACATGGATAGTGTGAGCACCAGTCAGAAGAATGTGCCTCCATGACAGTGTGGGGCCCCTGCTCTTGCCTCGGTCATCTTCCCACTGGTCCCAGCCCTGTCTCGCCCTCATGAACTTCCTTCTAACTTGCTCACCACTCCCTCCTGGAGAAGACAGGAGCCCATCTCTCCTCTGCCTCCCTGCCCCACCTCTGTCATAAGTGACTGGCTGTGACCTGCTAGTCCTGAGGAGGTTTGGCTCAGTGCCCACCAGGGTTCCAGCTCCCTGCCTCTGCCCCCACCCCAGGAATGGGCAGGGAGGAGGTGGGGGAATTGAAGTGAAATCACCCTTGGGGAAGGAGCCTGGGCAAGCATCACAGACCTTGAATCTTCCAGAGCCCTAAGGTAGGGCCCACATGATGGTACCTATTCTCTTCTCAGTCCCTCTCCATGTTGATCAACCATGGCCAAGGTGGAGTCCCAGGGATGCTGAGGGAGGCTGCAGTGGCCAAGGTAGCAGGCAGAGCCCTTACACCCTCTGGTCTCCAAGCTGGCCCTTTCTGCAGGAAGCCTGGCCCACTGGAGCCCTGTTAGTTAAAACTTCCTCCAACCTCCCACTCTCCTTTCACCAATCAACCTCAAATGACATAGCTGAGTCTGCGAGCAAAGGCTGCAGCACAGGAGAAAAGAGTAGGAGACACAGAAGCAGCAAGGAAGGAGAGAAATGGCAAAAAATGCCCTGAAAATGAACTGAAAAACCACCCCCCATCCCTTCCACCCTGCCCTGGGTGTAGGCCCTGGGCAGGCACCAGAAGACTTCCCACAGTTCCCATTCATTTCATTTCCACCCATAATCAGTAAGCACCTACTTTATGCCAGACACTGTGCTGGGTAGAGAGGCCCAACCAGATGAGTGTGTTAGGGTGATAACAGAACATTCCACCAGACTCTGTGGTCCTGAAGCCCAGTATCTGCTCAGTTTTAGATCGTCAGTGTACTGCAGAGCTCCTGGCACTTACAGTGAACGTTGTGGAATGAATTACACATTCTTGTGGCATTCCTTGGGGAGGATGTTGAGCATAGTAGTCAGGGAGGCAGTACAAAATAGTGGGGAAGAGGGTGTGGGTTCTGCAGTCGGACTGCCTGAGTCGGGCTCCGCCCAATTCAATGTGTGAGCTTGAGCAAGCTACTCTCCCTCTCTGACCCCAGTATCCTCATTTGCAAATAGGGATTGTTCCGAGGATTAAAAGGTGATGTCTATAAAATGGCAAACAGTGACCTGCACATAAGACTGCTGGTGGAGACCATCACAGGGCTAGAGCAGGTGTGTGTGTGGGGGGGGTGAGGGTGGCGGGGGGGGCTTAATGGATGGATGCAACAGATTATTCATTAGCTGAATCCACCAGGCTTGGTGGCTGATTGGATGTGGGGGAAGGAGGGAACAAGGTTCCTTGCTTAGGCAGTGGTGAGGCTCCTGGAGTAGGAAGCTGAGAGGGGCAGGGCAGGAGGAGGCAGGTGGGTGGAAAGGGAGTTTTAGACCTGCCTAGTGAGAAGGACCTGTGAAGATTCAGGAAGCTTTAGGCTCCACAAGCAGAAAGGCCTGTGTGGGAGGAATATGGCCCAGAATCAAAGCCAGGGGCTGAAAAGCCCCCCTTACCCGTTCACCTTCCTCAACTATTACGTGGGAGCCTCTACGGCCCCCTGCCACCTGCCTGAAGAGAATGGGGCAAAAGGTTTGCTGTATGGGTAGACTGAGTCAAGGGGCCCTGCTCTCCAGCCTCCATCACCTCCCTGTTCCTCCGCCACCTCTGCAGCCTGTGTGCACCCAGGCCTGGGGGCAGTGACTCTGGATGTGGGCGTTGCCCCTTGGCGGGAACTGTCAGGCTGAGGCAGGACTGCAAGTGGTCATGCACCCGGGCTCTGACGGCTTCGGTAGAATCCCTCACTGCTCCACCTCTTCCTAGTCATGGCACCTCGGGCATGGCATTTGACCTTTTGGTGTCTCAGCTTCCTCATCTGTAAAGTGAGGTAATAATAATACCTATCTCAGGACTGTTGTGATGATTAAATCAGCGAATGTATATAAAGTATCAAGTACAGGGCCTATGCATGTTAATTATTATTATTATTATTATTATTATTATTATTATGTATCTGTCCAGTCTGGGCAGGGCCTGGCATGTGTCCCTAAGATGACTCACCATCTGGCTTGGGGTGTCTTCCTCAGGCACACTACCCTAGTTCCCTGCCCCTCCAGGCCTCAGCCTCAGTCGGATCTCTACTGAGCTGTCATTCTATTGGCCAGCCCCCACCCAGGAATCCTGAGCCATAGAAACCTGCCCATCATGGGCTCGGTGGGAGCCAGGGGCTTTGGCTGCCAGTTACAACAGTGAGATAAGTGAAGAGCCAACCTTGATGGTCTCCCTTGGCTACCAGTGAACAGGTAATTACCAGGCCATCTTCTCAGGGAGGGGGAGAGAGAAAGAGACGTGGAAACAGAAAGGCAAGGCAAGGCAAGGATATGTTGAGGGAGAACACAGGTGGGGGAAAGTGGGTTTGGGACACTTTCATTTTCACCGATTTGAATGACTTTCATTTGCACCCCACTCCTCTGTTTGTACCCTTTAGCTTCCTCCCTTAGACATATAGTCCAGATTAGAAGAATGAATATAACATATACACAACACAGCATAGCATGTGGTTTCAGTGAAGTCGGGCAGCCTGAGTTCAAGCCCCAGCTCCATTATTTACTAGCTGTGTGGCCTCGAAAAGTTACTTAATACCTTTGAGCCTCAGTTTCCCCATCTGCAAAGTGGTAATTCAAAGGGTAATGGCAGAGATTACATACTGTACATGTGAAGCACTTGGACCCGTGCCAGGCACTGACCGGCTATTGTGGCCCGCAGAGAGGTCTATAGAAGCAGACGTCCTGCCTCATTCCCCAGCTCCTTTTCCACCTGCCCAAGGTGGGGGCAGTAGGAATAGTGTTCTGACCCCACTGACCGTCTCTGGAAACTCCCCTGCAAGTGCCTCTAGACCAGGTCACTGGCCACAGCAACCTGAAACTTCAACACTCCCCACCCCTAACTCCCCCTGAACACTCTTCCCCAGGCGCACCCGCGACCCCAGCCTGCTATCCCTTCCTGCCAATAGCCAAGCTGTTCTTCCTTCTGCCAGCTTCCCAGGGCTTGGGTGGGTGCACTGGGGCTCGGGTCCAGATGGTCCTCAGGTCCCCCTCCTTCCCTGCAGGGGCATGTCAAACTCCACCATGGTTTCTCACAGTGTGGACAGAGCAGGGAACCTGAGGGTGCTAATTCCAAACACCAATCTCCCATTTCACACCAGTAGGACTGAACCTGAATTGGGGGTGTGTGTGGAACTTGCGTTTTGATGAGCTCCTGGGGAGATTTTCTAATACACCATCATCACAACGAAAACTGGCAGCCCCACGCCAGCTCCAAGAACACAGTCAGCGGTGCCAGATGGGGACTCGGTGTCCCAGAGCAAGGGGACGGATTGTTAGAGAAGCGCTTGCCCCAGTCCAGGCAGGCTCCGCAGCAGAGGGGAAGGGACAGCGATGGGGCCGAAAGAGAGCGAGTCCTAGAAAGTCGGGGGCGGGGCGCGCGCCTCTTTCTAAAACCCTCATTAACTTGCTGAGCAATTACCGGGGCGCCGCAGGAGTCGCTGCATCTCTGCCGCGTCAGAAGCTGGAGTGGGGCGGAGAGGGAGGCGCTGGGCCACCTGCGCGGCGGTGGAAACTGAGGCCCAAGAGGGGCGAGCCTGCACGGGACTCTGCAGTCCCGGGGCTGGGCTGCCACCGCCCGCCGCCTGGGAGCGCGAGTGGAGGACGTGTTCCTCCCAAACGCCCTCTTTTCTTGAAGCTCAGCCACAGCTTCATAGCTTCATCCATCTCGAAGCACAGTCCTTCCTCTCCAGCCTCAGCTTCCCCAACTGCGCCCTCGTGTGCACGGAGGGCGGAGAGGGGGGCGTGGGGTGGGCATCTGGGCGCGCAGCGGTGGGAGGCCAGGCAGTGGGATTCCCCACCGGAAAGCAGCCCAATCCCTCCCCCGGGCTGTCTGAGACCCTGAACCGAAACAGGAGGCAGAACGCCCCAGCCGGGAAGCAGCCTCGGCCCGGATTTCCCTCCCGGGTGGGGCCACAATGACTCACCTCCTCCCGCCCCCTCCCCCCCTTCCCCCGGTTTCCTTGTTTGCATTTGTCCTCCGGGCCACGTGGCGACCGGTGCAGCCACTCACCGCCCCTGCCCGGTCACCTGGGCCTAGTGGCCCCGGCACACCCCCCACACACCCCGGGGCGCTCCTGCCCCCTGGGGTTTCTCGGAGCTCCGGCTCTTGCCCGCTTTGCAGACCCCAGAGTCGGGTCTCCACCCCTGCCCGTGTCCGCCCCCTGTCCTACGCCCTCCCTCCCGACCGTGAGGCTGGAGCCTCCTCCCTGCCCCCTCAGCTTGTCCGGGAGGGGAAGGGGGCGGGCAGCACAGGGGGTGTGACAGCTCCCGCCCGGACCATTGCCAGCTGCAGCCTCGCTTCAGTGCCCCGTGCCAGCTGGCTCTTTCGTCTGGGACGGAGGTGGAGGCTCGGGCTCCTTGTCGCCGAGGGGGGAGGCCCCCCGCGGGCCCCCAGCCCTCCACCCACCCAAGAGGAGCCTCTCCTCCCAGCCGGCCTCTGGCTGCTCTGGCGGTGGGTCCAGCTAGGAACTGGCCCTGGTCACTGCGCCCGGGACTCAGAGCCCGCAGCTCTCCAGGATCCCCCTATCGGAGCTGACGGGGCTCGCTGGGGAGCCTCCCGGCCTTTTGCTAGAGCCTGCAGGGCTGGACGAGCTAGAGAAGGATCATGAAGGTGGGTAAGGTGGGGCCGGGGGCGAAGAGCAGCAGAAGAGGAAGCCGACAGATGGGGAGTTTGGGTGGGAGAGAAAGGGTTGTTCTTGGGGGAGGAAGGAGGGGAGAAGAAGGGTTTGAGCTGAGGCTACATTTCTGGGGGATCCAGTGAGTCCATAGCTTCAAACTGGGAGGTGGTGGAGGTCCCTGCAGGGACTTGGGTAGCGGGGTGGGGCAGAAGTCCAAAGAAGGCCGGGAAGGAAGGCTCTACCTCCCGCCAGCAGGAGACCCCTAAGTGCGCCAGACCGACAAGACCCAGCGAAGGTCTTCCTGTCCCTCCCCCAGCTCCTGGCAGGGCTGCAGCACCTCCGCCTGTCCAGTCCAGAGGATTCTAAGGAAGCGGTGCTGCCGGGGGAGTTGTGTCCTGGTCCAGCTGCCCCAGCCCCATGGCTGTCCGCCTTCCTCCCCTCCTCACAGGTGGGCTGGCCAGGTGAGAGCCGCTGGCAGGTGGGCCTGATTGTGGAGGACAGCCCAGCTCTGGGAGCACCACAGGTGGGAAGCCTACCAGACGTGGTGCCCGAGGGGACGCTGCTCAACATGGTGCTGAGGAGGATGCACCTGCCCCGAAGCTGCTCCTACCGGCTGCTTCTGGAGCACCAGCGCCCCAGCCGAATCCAGGGGCTTCGCTGGGTGAGTGCTCATCGCCTGCCCAGGCCAGGAACCAGGGCTGCAGCGTCTGGATAGGGAGCACAGGCATGCTGGTGGTGGCCCAGCTTGTCTGGGAGGGTGGGGGGTACTGCTGGATGGACAGCTGGTCAGGCAGCTTAGCTTCGGTATGGGTATGTGTGGGTGGCTCACACAGCTGCATTGTGTGTGTGTGTGGTGCCCAAGTGCCCCCATTTAGGCATGGGGGAGAGGCAAGGGATTTGCCATTTATTCATAACCTCTGCGTGCCTTGGGTTAGGTGCCTGTGTGTTCTCCCTGTGTGTGTGTGGGGGGGGGGGGGCGCGGACGGGGGGAAGGCCAGGTCAAGTCAGGGCTGAGGTAAACTTGGTTACTAGTCTCCACATATCACCGTGGCAACCTTCCCGGTTAGTGAGCAACTGAACTGCACCAGTTCTGTTTTTTGATTTTGGGGTGAGGTGGTCATGCGAACGTTGCTAGGCATCTGGCATTGCGGAGTTCAGGGAAGGATTCTGAAAAGTTTAGAGAATCTGAGGCGGCTGGAGTTCCCCTTGTCATTGGATAACAGCTGTGGAGCTGCAAAAGTGAAGGAGAGAGCAGGAGCGGGTCATGGTGGGTGGGGTGCAGGATAATGGTTGCAGGATCCAAATTGTCAGAGAAGCTCTCCTCAGTCTCCTAGACTTAATACAGTGGCTTCACCTGAGATTCAGTGTGTGTCTTGTGTGCCCACCTGTATGTGTGTGTGTGGGGGGGGGGGGGGCGGCTGGTGCCGGGAGGGGACTTGGGTAAAGGCGTGGAGGGAAATAGGAGCAGGTGACAGACTTGGGGGAGCTCGTCTCTTATGGGCAAGTCCCGTCGAATAGAAGGACCACCACCTTCTGCCTGCTTCCTCCTGCCTCTCTCAACCGCCATTTATATTTACCAAAACATGAGGCTGAGTTGAGAAAACGGAGGCCCACCAACATGAGGGGGTCATCCTGGCGATCAGAATTGAGAGGAGAATCTAGGTGGCAGTCCCCCAAACCCTGCCTCCCAGTGTTTTCCTGATAAGGGGCCCCCTGGCCTTGGTCCTGCTCAAGATGGGACTCTGGAGGAGGCAAGGGAGCCAGTCACTTCTAGGCTTAGCTTCCCCCCCTCCCCCTTCTGGGTCCCTGGCAGTAGCTACTGCTTGGAGCCAGTGGGCTGGAACACTCCCTCCCTCTTTCCCTCTCAGGCTATAATTACTTGTGCATTTCCTGTCCTTTTCCCAGCTTGTAGAGGCAAGGTGGAGAGTGGGGGGAAGGTCAGGTGCTAGGACAATGAGGTCACTGGAGGATCCCCTGGGACCCAAAGTCTGGGAGTGGGTAGATGAGGCCGCCAGGCTGTCTCCTGACCCCTCCAACCCCTGGTGTGCTGGGAGGCCAGAGGGTGGGGGTGAGGGTTGTTGGAGTGTAAATGGGGTCAAAGGCACAGAAACAAGGCTCCTCCCCTGCCAGGTAGGGGGGCAAGTGGGGCTTGTTGATTAGAGGGAACTTAGATTTTTATGGCTGCCACACCCTCTCCTGATGACCTTCTCTGGGGAATGGGGTGGGGTCGTTTCAGCCCATCTGTCTGTGACTCTGGGTGCCTATAAAGCTGCACCTTAAATCTCTGGATGATGCCTGTGGCCCATGAAGAGCTCACGTGAGAGGGACAAGCGCCAGGCAGGGAATATGCACACACAGGGTGAAGGGTGGATGTTGTGAGGGAGCAGAGCCCAGAGTCCCAGGACAGTGCTGGCAGTTGTGCAGCCCCTGCCTACCTCTTAGAAAAACAAGGGGAAACCCATCAGCTTCCTGCAGGCTAAAGAGAGCACTTTCTGTTCCTACTGGACCGGGACAAGAGAAAAATAAAAGCAGGTTACAGCAGGAGGGCCGGAGGTTAGCTATAGAAAGGACTTGCCAACCCGGACAGAGGTGACACTGGGATGGAATGGAAGAGCATCTCCTTGGAAAACATGACGGGGAGAGATTGTTTGGTGTCTGGGAACCAGCAGAGGGCTCAGTCTGTCTAGTAGAGGCAGCGACAAGATCTGGATGACCTCTGGTGGGTCCCATGAGCCCCCAGAACCCTGGGATGCTTCTCTGTGAGTGGGTGTTTTGGGGATGGTGTGTCTATGCTCTAACTCAGAAAACATGCTTTCACCCAACCTGTCCAAATAATGGTAGTAGCTAGTAGTTATCTAGGACTTATGTCCCAGGCACTTGTCAAATACTCGCCCAACAGCCTGTGAAATAGGTGCTAATGTCATCATTTCATTTTAGAGATGAGTAAACAGGGGCACAGAGAGGCTAAGTGACAGGTCCAGAGTCACACAGCTGCTAAGGGACAAAGCTGGACTTTGGTCCTGGGTAATGAGGCTTCAGAGTCCAGGTTCATGGTATGTTTTCTCTTGCTGTGGATGGTAACACTGACGCTCCAAAACATCACCCCACCCCATGCCCCCTCTCCCTGTCCCACCATGACTAGCCCTGGCCTGAGACCCTAGCCATGGGCTAACGGAACTGGTCTGACGACAGGTCCCCATGTGTCTGTCTGCACTGCCAGTCGGGCTCTGACACCAGTGACAGGGAGGGAGGGTGAGGCAGGTCAGGTGCTGGTGCCATGGGAGCTAGCTGGCAACTCCTCTTCCACCCTGAGGAGTTCCTGTGAAGGCATGAGAGGAGGTGGGCGAGGACCTTCACCTCCACCCATGTCAGCTACTTCTTTTCCCACTGAGAACCCTAAGCTGACCCTCAGGGTCATCGGGTCACAGACAGGGTCAACAAGGTACATTCCTTGTAGAGTCCAGGGCCCAACCTGAAATAAAGATTAATCAAGTTACTTAACACTTACTAAGCAGTTACTACAAGCCAGGTCCTGCTCAGGTGCTTTCTGTTATTCTCATTTGATCCTTATAATAACTATGGGATAGTTTTCTTTTTTGGGGTTGGGGGGGTCAGACAGGTGTTTTTATCACCAACCCCAGGTGCAGGTGAGGAAACTGAAGCACAGAGAGGTTAATAAGCAGCTCTGGGTCACACAACCAGCTGGTAATGGGAGAACCAGGGTTTGAACCCAGGCATCCAGCTCCAGAACCCACACACTTGACCACTGCCCCTGAATAGCACCCGCACCCCAACATGGTGCCCAGAGGGACTATGATAACAAACCTATTGAATTTGTTTTACCCAGTGTTCTCCAGGCTTACTTGCCCATGGAACATTCCTGAGTAGAATACCGCTGCTATTTCAACTTCTATGGCACAGTGGGGGAAACATGGGGTAGTTGCCATGGAGATGGCAGGGCATCGTGGCTAAGCGCATGGGCTTTGGAATCAGACGGGCACAGTGTGAATCCTGATGCTTGTTTTACCTACTCTCAGGGTATGTTATGCAACCTCTGAGCCTCCTGCTCTCTAGCATGAAATAGGAAACAAACATCTGCGTTGAGGGTCAGCGCTGGTAGCAGTTATTGGTAGGATCTCCCATTTCTAAGCAGTGTGTGAGTTTCTCCGTCTCTCTGGGCACCTGCTTTCCTTGGCAAAGTGAGAGGGCTGCCTTTAGAGCCCTCCTCGGCTCTGATGGGCCAGAGCCGCTGACCCTCAGTGCTCATCCCCTGGGGCAGGACAGGAAATGGCTGAGGCAAGGCCTGTGGATCTGGGATCTGGATGGTGACCAACCTGGCCACATGACCTGGCACCTCCCCTCCTGAAGTGCCCTCTGGGGTCAGAATAATACCAGGAAGGGAGCTTGTGCTGGAGCCTGGGTTGTGGGCACCAAAGGGAGTTGGGGCAGGGACTGGGGCCACCTGGGCATTTTGACATGAACAACAACAAGTCATTAGCACTCAGTACTGTTTGTTCCAACACTGGGGGCTGGCTGGGTAGCATTCCTGCCCTTCCTCTTTCCCTGGCTCCTCCTCCTCCTTCTCCTCTTCCTCCTCCTTCTCCTCTTCCTCCTCCTTCTCCTCCTCCTCCTCTTTTCCTGTTGCTAAGTCTCTAGGGCTCTGTGTCTGGCACCAGGCTGGGCCCCATGACCTGGGCAGGGATACCCTTGGGACACCTAGTGACTTCCGCTCAGCGCTGGGCCAAGCATCTACACATGCCAGGCCTCAGGCCTCTGCCTGGCAGACGGTGGAAGATGCCAGAATCAGGGGAGGGGGTTCTGGCCCCAGGCCTGGTTGTACCCCAGCTCCCCAACCAGGTCATTTTCAGGGACCTGAGTGCAGATGGGAAAGCAGGAGAGGGAGAGAGTGCTGGTAAGAAGAAGGGGGAAGGGAGAGGAAGGGGAAGGTGTGGTGGGTGGAGCGAGACCAAGAATGTGAGCACTTCTGGTCGGAACTCGAGTTTATCCGAGGCTGTCTGGCTGTCTCAAGTGTGTCTGACTGAGTTACCTGAGCACTTCACCTCAAGAGTTTTGTTTCCTCGTAAATCAAAGAAGACAGATTATACCTGCCCCGCCTCGCTCACGTCTGATCCTATTTAATACAGGATCAGAGGGAGTCACAGAGGTGATCATGCTTTGTAAAGCGCTCTGCCTCAGGGAGGGCTCGTACAGGAAGGGCATCCTGTCCAGGGATGTCCACAAATTCCAGTTCTCAGGTGGCAGAGAAAAGGGTCGGGAGAGGTTTTCATGGCCAACATCCGGGGCACCTAGGCTGGGTGGCTCGATTGATACAAAAGGCAGGAAGCCTGTTCACTGATGTTTCTACGTAAACCCCGTCTTCTGGAGCCAGTCCTGTGTGCTCCCAGGCCCTCCTCACTCTACAGGGCTACGGACTAGCAGCAGCATCTCAGAGAGGCCAGGAGCGCTGTGCAAGCAGCCGCCCTTTGCTTCTCAGATGAGTAATAACAGCTGACATGTACACACAACTCTATACCAGGCAGTGCTGTATTCAGAGCCACACTGCTGATAAATGGAGGAGCAGGGATTTGGAGCCAGGAGTCTGGCTCCAAGGTTCGTGTTAACCACCAGGGTGCGCAGAAGCCCACACAGGGCAGGTTTGCCCACAGACCTGTGGTTGGGGACAGACCTTGGCTCTGGTCCAGGCCTTGTGACGCCAGCCGAGGAACTAGTGTTCCCAGCCTCCCAAGCCACGCACCCCCAGCCTCTCAGGGCCTTCTTATTGCACGCCCTCATGCTCTTCCAGGAGCAGGTACCTGGGAGCCTGGGCACACCTGGCCCCAAGTAAGCAGAACGGGGATCTCGGGGTGCTCATCTGTGGGGATGAAGTGCTTGGGTGACTGGGGACAGGATAGCAGGGTGGGGAAGAGGCGATACCGGGCACACCGCGTGATTAGTGAGTATTTGTTTACAGTTGTCGCCCCTCATCCAGCGGCTATGTTCCAGGACCCCAGCACGTACCTGAAACCAGGGACAGTACTGCATCCTATACATACTGTTTTTCCTAAACACATATATCTGTGCATTTAAAGGAAGCACTTTACTACTTGTCTTTGGCATGTCCAAATCGCTAGCACCATTAATGGTGCGCTTTGGGGCCAGTATTAAGTAAAATAGGGCTTACTTTTTTTTAATCCTCACTGCAGGATATGTTACTGATTTTAGAGAGGAAGTGGGGAGAGAGAGAGAGAGAAACATCAATAGGTTGCCTCCCTTATGCACCCTGACCAGGGATCGAACTCGAAACCTAGGTATGTGCCATGACAAGGAATCAAACCTGCAACCTTTTGATGCACCAGATGATGTTCCAACCAATGGAGCTACCCGGCCAGGGCTAAGGGTTACCACAGCAATGGATCTGATATGCCAGACGGTACTAAGTGACTAACGGGTGGGTAGTGTATGCAGTGAAGATATACTGGACAAAGGGATGATTCATGTCCCAGGGGGACAACACAAGATTTGATCACACTGCTTAGAATGGCACACAATTGAACACTTATGAATTGTTTATTTCTGGAATTTTCCATTCGGACCACAGTTGAGTGTGAGTGACTGAAATCTTGGAAAGCAAAACCACAGATAGGAGGGAGACTACTGTATTTGTTGAATGAGTAGCTGAATGGATGCGTTTGGAGTTGGGGGTTGGGCAAGGGGTGCAGGGATGGGGGAGGGGTGGAGTCCAGGAGCTGGATTTGAAGGAAGGCCTGGCACTGACGTGCACACTCTTCCCATTGCCCTCAGACACCACTCACCAACAGCGAGGAGTCCCTGGACTTCAGTGTGAGCCTGGAGCAGGTACTAGTCTGACGGTGGAGCTGGGGAGGAGGGGACAGCATGGCCAGCGGGTCAGGGCCTGAGCCAGCTGTGTTGCCCGCCCCCAGGCTTCCACAGAGCGGGTGCTCAGGGCGGGGAAGCAGCTGCATCGACATCTCCTGGCCACCTGCCAGAACCTCATCCGAGACAGAAAGTACCACCTTAGGCTCTATCGGTGAGTGGAGGCCTTGCCGGCCTCCTGGCCCAACCCCTCTGTTTTTCTCTTCCTTTTCATTCTATTCCTGGCATCTGGGCTGGGCCCTGCTTCTAGCAGAACTGGGGCTGGGCCTAGGAAGGTGCCTTGTGGATGGACAGTTGCTCCCTCTCTCCTCTCCCCTCCTGCCATTTGACTGTCCGTCCTTTTCCCTGTCCCCTTAACTCTTGTAGGCAATGCTGCTCAGGCCGGGAGCTAGTGGATGGGATCTTGGCCCTGGGGCTTGGGGTACATTCACGGAACCAAGCCGTGGGAATCTGTCAAGTCCTGCTGGATGAAGGTGCCCTTTGCCATGGTGAGCCCGAGCCCAGGGCAGGGCACCCGGGGCTGGGCAGTCCTGGGGAGCGGGCATCTGGGGTAAGGAGGGATGAGCATTGTAGTAGGGCCTCAGACCCCCTCAGCCTCAATTTTCTCTCCTCCCCCATGTCTGGGCCTCTTCCCGCAGTGAAACATGACTGGACCTTCCAGGACCGAGACACCCAGTTCTACCGTTTCCCGGGTCCAGAGCCGGAGCCCTCGGGAGTCCATGAGCTGGAGGAGGAGTTGGTTGAGGCCATGGCACTGCTCTCCCAGCGGGGACCGGATGCCCTGCTCACTGTGGCACTTCGAAAGCCGTGAGTTGGCACCCTGCATCCCGAGACCCCAGGCCCCACACGACTCCCAGACCCCATAGCTTCTCAGTTTTGTCTCCGAGGGGCTCCTTTACTTCTTGCTGAGAGAAAGGACCCCGGTTGGATCAGAGGCCTGAGCTCTGACCTGCATTCTGCCAGACTTGCTGGGTGATCTGAGCCCTCCTTCCCCACTGAGCCCGTTTCTTCCTCTGTAACTGAGGGTGTGGGGCACGAGGCCTCTGAAGACCCTGCCCACTCTCAGTGGCAGCAATGGCTGAGAGAGGGTGGGCTCACGAGTCCTCAGGCAGGTCTGGGTTCAAATTCTGGTTCTACTGGCTGCGAGCTGGTGGCCTCGGGCCTTTCCGTGCCAGCTTCCTCTTCCGTCAAAGGAAAACAAGAATGCCCACGTCATGGGTTGTCGTGAGGACAATTGAAATGATGCGTGTGAAGCACTTAGTCCCGTGTCTGGCACAATGTGAACTGGGGAATGGCTGGCCATTAGTGATAACAATCCTTGCTGAGGCACCGGCTGGCCTCAGGCCTGTGCTTTGTGGGTGAGTGGTCCCAGCCCTGGTCCCAGCTGGAGTTCATTCTTTGCTTTCTGGTCCTCCCTGGCCTGCAGCCCAGGGCAGCGCACGGACGAGGAGCTGGAGCTCATCTTTGAGGAGCTGCTGCACATCAAGGCTGTGGCCCACCTCTCCAACTCGGTCAGTCGCAGGCCCCGCCCTGCCCCGCCCTGCCCTTTCCCTAGGAGCCTCCTCTCCTGTGACCACCCCAGGAGGCACCAGCTGCTGGCCCAGAAAACGTGTCCCTCCCCTTCTGCCTATGGCTTGGAAATTTCCATCTAAATTGCTGTTCCCAGCATCCTTGTCTGAAAACCCTCTGCCTCTCTTAGCCCTCCCCCACCCCCCAAATCTCAGGCCACCTGGCCTAGCCACACCTCTGCCCCCGGGCACTCATGTCTTTGGGCCTTCCCTCCTCACCCCTCACCTGGCCCTCTGCCCTGGACTTGCCCACTGACCCCCCTCTCCCTCCCCACAGGTGAAGCGGGAATTAGCAGCAGTTCTGCTCTTTGAACCCCACAGCAAGGCGGGGACTGTGTGTAAGTCAGATAGTTGACAGGAAGCTGGGCACCAGGGACCTGGACATGGTTGGGGGCCCCAGAGAGGTGGTGGGTGCTGGGGCGTGTCTGACCTGTGCTCCTCTCAGTGTTCAGCCAGGGGGACAAAGGCACCTCATGGTACATCATCTGGAAGGGATCCGTCAATGTGGTGACCCATGGCAAGGTGAGTGCGCCCAGCTCCCCAGCCCCCTGGGTGGTAACTGCACCTTGGTCGTCCCCACGGGCAGTGCCTGTGGTGGACCCAAGGCTGCTGACACCCAGGTCTTCCCGTGCCTCGGAGCTTCTCCCCGCTGTGGCTCTGTTTCATGAGGGCTGGGGCTGGGCGGGCTGTGACTGAGGCCTGGCTCCAGGGGCTGGTGACCACACTGCATGAGGGAGATGACTTCGGACAGCTGGCTCTGGTGAACGACGCACCCCGGGCAGCCACCATCATCCTGCGAGAAGACAACTGTCATTTTCTCCGAGTGGACAAGCAGGACTTCAACCGTATCATCAAGGTGCCGTTGCTGGGGGTGGGGAGGGCAGGTGGCAAGGACGGTTCTCTGGAGAAGTGTGGGGCAGGGGAGGGACCAGAGAGAGCCCGTGAGGGGCAGGGAGCGAGGAGATGGAGAAGCTCAGAGATGATGGCTGGAGGCGGGAGCCCAGCCTGGGGGTGTGAGGAAGTCCACAGCATGCTGATGAGGTTCCGTAAGCCCGTGAACTCCGCTGTCTGTGCGGGAGACCATGGGGGCAGTGGGGCTACCGAGGGGTCGGGGACTAGGGTGTGAGGGGGGCAGTGGAGAGTGGGATCCATGGAGGAAGGGCAGGGAGGGATTGAGCAGAGGAGGGGCTCAGGCTGTGTGATAAGCAGGGGTGGAATGAAGGGCACATCCAAGTGGTGGGTGTTGAATAGAGTGGGAGAAGGGCTGAGGGTCCTTGTGGGGCTCAGGGTCTGAAGGAGGGAGGTGTGGGGAGAGGTGCCTGAGGTGGGGAAGGGGCATGGTGTGTGCTGAGCACTGGGTGTGGCTTGTTCTTCAGGACGTGGAAGCAAAGACCATGAGGCTGGAAGAGCACGGCAAAGTGGTGTTGGTGCTGGAGAGAACCTCTCAGGGCACTGCCTCTTCTTGCCCCCCAACCCCAGGCAGGAACCGGTAACACACCCACCAAGCTCCCTCTCCACCTTCTCTCCTCCTTTTCCCAGGCTTTACTCCCTTCCTCCGTGTCATACCCCTGCCTGCTGGCCTCCTGGGTAGAGAGACATCCCGGGACTCAGATGTACCCCTGAATAGCCACCCCTCCACCCCTAGGTGGGGCAGGGCAGACAAATAGGGAAGAGTGATATGACTGATTACTGCCATCTGTCCAGGTTGTGGGGGGAGGGGGTGGCACCAAGGCATGGATTGGCCATTTTCTACCAGGTATACGGTGATGTCTGGCACCCCGGAGAAGATCCTAGAACTGCTGTTGGAGGCCATGAGGCCTGATTCCAGTGCTCATGATCCAACAGGTAGGGACAGGAGACACCTGCTTGCCTGACTCATCAGGTGGTCAGCGTAGCCTGGGAGAGGGCTGGGCACCTGCCTCTGACCTGATTGGGTGCCGGCTTGGTCCGTGGGGCCAGTTGGCAGTAAATCCTCATTCCTGTGCTCTTGGCTTGGGTAGGGAGTGCAGTCACAGGGGCTGGGCATCAGTGGTACTTTGACCATGGCAGCATTGGGGGCTGGCACTCCAGCTGTGCGTGTACCTGTGTCCAATGGGCTTGACCTCTGAAGCCCCACCTGCCACCTGTCTCCCATCTCTGCCTGCCCTGCAGAGACGTTCCTCAGTGACTTCCTCCTGACGCACAGAGTCTTCATGCCCAGCACCCAGCTCTGCGCTGCCCTCCTGCACCAATATCCTTCCAGCCCCAGGGACGGTGTGTGGAGTGGGGAGAAGGGATCGCTCATAGCATGGCTGTGCCGAACCCTCCAAAGTACCAGCCTCATGCCAGGCCTGTCAGCACCTTCCTCTGCCTGAGCTGCGGGGGGTGGCTCAGTTGGATGCTGTGGTTTCCTTGACTGGCGCCCACCTTCCACGCGGAGCCCACGGGAGGCAGTGAGCAGGAGCGCAACATCTACATCTGCAACAAGAGACAGCAGATCCTGCGGCTGGTCAGCCAGTGGGTGGCCCTGTATGGCCCCCTGCTCCACACTGACCCCGTGGCCAGCAGCTTTCTCCAGGTACCTGGGAGTGAGGCAGGCTGGACAGGGCTGCCCGGGTGGACACGGCTACAGCGTCTCAGTGCTTCTTGGCTCCTCCCAGAAACTCTCAGACCTGGTGAGCAAGGACGCCCGGCTTAGCAACCTGCTGCGGGAGCACTGGCCTGAGAGGCGGCGGCACCACCGGTAACTTTGGCTCTAAGTTAACTTGTCGTATGCATGACAGGCAGCGCCTCGCGGACTGAGCGCACCAACTCTGGACTGAAACCCAGGCCCTACCACTCACAGCTGTGCTGTCTGAGCACGTGACCGCACCCCCCACCCCCCCAGGACTTCGGGCTCCTGTCTATAATGTGTTGGGGGGAGCACCTACCTCATTGCACGGGACAGAGTTACTGCTCCTTCCGAGGGCAGAGCAGTGCCTTGCGCATGTGCATGCGAATGTTGCCTGTCCCTGCTCATTTGTCTGGTCCTGCTTGTTTCAATGAGTCGTTCCCACCAGTCCCTTGCTGTTCACCCTCATGTCAGGGCTCAGCCATTCTCACACATCAGTCATTTGTGTGTCACTCTCCTGTCCCGAGTGCACCTGCTGCTCTCACTTCCTCCATCCCACACCTATTTATTACCCAGCACCATTGGTGCCAGTTCCTGCCAGCCCCACCCAGTAAAGCTCCTAGACTAGCTTCCCCTTCCCAGACATTGCCATGGGGACAGCTCACTGAACCGTCTGACCCCTGGGCCCATTTCCCCCTTGAACTCCTTTTCCCTCCCCTGTTGGTCTGGGGAAACCAGGATCCAGGGCCCCAGTTTCAGCCCCTTTGCCCCTTTTTAGGGGACATTCACCAAGTCTATGAAACTCTGCCCCTGGGGTGAGGGCGGATGGGACCCAGATCTCCGGGCACCTCCCTGCTCCTGCCTGGCCTCCAGTCTCACTCCCTTCTCCCTTGCTCCACAGGTTGGAAAATGGCGGTGGGAGCGCATCTCCTCAGATAAAGGTGTCTGCTCGAAATCGGCTCCTCTCGCCTCTGTCAGCCTCAGCTTCTTCCCTCTGCTCCCCCGTGACTGTAGGGTCCTCCTTCATCCCCCATCTGAGGGGTCCTGCGTGGAAGGTTCCCATGCACAGACACCCCTCATGTCCCAGGTCCTACGGGGACACTGAGGTCTAAGGTCACCCCTTCACCCCACCACCACCTTAGACCCAGTTAGCAGTTCCCACCAGGTGAGCCTCTGAGGCCCAGCGGCTCCTGGTGGCCAGCGAGGGAGCCCAGAGGAAGGCAGACCCTCCTGGGAGTCAGAGGTGGCCAGTGCTGCTCCGGGGAGACCCAGGGGTCAAAGAGGGACTGGAGCTGAGATTTGGATGAGGAATGGTGGGGAAGGGACTGGAAAGGTAGGCTGGGGCTGACTGTGGGGAGTGCTGCATTGGGAATAAAATCTAAAAGCCTCCCCCGGGCTTTCGGGTCTCCCCGTGCCTCTCCCACCTCCCCCCGCCCCACCCCGTCCCCCCTCGCTGCTGAAGACACTCATGGGCCCCTTCTCTTCTATAGGTGAAGCTTGTTCCCACCTCAGGGCCCGGACCTTTCTTTCTCTGGCTCTTTGACTACCTGGATCCTTCCTATCGTTCTGATCTCAACCAGAGTGTTGGGTTTCCAGAGAGGCCCCTTTCCATCTCTCTATGCAGAGCAGCCCTCCACTGGCCACTGGCCTGCAAGGTGTCTACTGTGATTTTCTTCAAAGCAGGATCACCATGTGGAGTTGTTGTATTTGTCTAGTTGCTCATTGGCTGTTAGTATCACATCCCACTAGACCACTGGGCTCACGGTGCTGCCTGTGGCTGGCACTCGGGAACCGTGTGGACTGGTCCTCATGTGCCAGACACTGTGGAACCTGTGATTGCAGTCCTGGGCTGGGAGAGCCAGCCTTGGCCTTAAGGGTCAAGCGAGGGACCATTTCATGCTAAGGGCTAAGACAGGGGTCTCTGAAAGCAGGGAAGGGAATGGTTGACTCAGGGTCAGGGTCATGGTCAGGGAGTGTCCTTGAGAAGTAACTGTTGGAGCTGAGAGCTGCACGGTGTGAGGGGGAGGGGCCCACGGAGGAAGGGCTGTGGGTTTGACAGGACAGTTGACATAGCTGGTAGATAAGGGCACAGAGAGAGGGAGGAGCAGGTGAGGATTTCAGCTGGGCCACTTAACAGCAGTGCTGCCTTGGGCAGGTTCCTTAACCTCTGTGAGCCTAATTTATCTGTAAAATGGGAATAATAACAATATTTTTGTCAAAGGATGATTCTGAATATTTAGATACTTGGAATAAGCGTGTCCATAGCCTGGCATGTAGCAAACTAGCAAATGATAGCCGAAGGAGGAAAGGGAGGAGAAAGACAGCTGAGGTGTGTTCACACTAGAACAGCTCTGGGCCTTTTTGGCAGAGGGGGTGACACGTAGGGGGGCACACCCTCATTCTTAGCCGCCATCTGTCTCTTTTCCTGGAGCCTTGGTCCCAGGGTCTCACCTGGCTCAGGTTCCCTCAGCAAGCAGGGCCCATACTCCCAGTGACAAAGGCCCCTCCCTGGCCCTGCATGCTCTCCTCTGTGTCCTCCCGGCCTTACTTTCTCTCCCTCTCAGGCCCGGAACATGTCTGTTTGGCTCCCCGGCCCGGATGAGTCCCTCCCCAGCAGCAACTGTGCCATCCGAGTTGGAGACAAAGGTGGGTGGCCTGCACCAGCCAGGACATAGCTCACACCCTGCTGTGGTCACCCTTGACAACAGTGTGGCAGGCCAAGGATGGCACGCTGTGCTCCTCGGGGCCTCAGGTCCAGCCTCCGCCTCTGCTGGGCTCAGGGCCTCTCCCTGCTCTGCACCGTGTGCCCACCCAGGCTTCTCCTTAGTGCCCTGGCCTGCTCCTCGGGGCCCCTCCCACTCTTTGCTGCCTTTTCTCTCCTGAGGTGGGGAGACCAAGCAGCCCCCTCCCACACTCAGCCTGATCTTCCTCTCCAGTCCCCTATGACATCTGCCGGCCAGACCACTCGGTGCTGACCCTGCAGCTGCCTGTGACGGCTTCAGTGAGGGAGGTGATGGCGGCGTTGGCCCAGGAGGATGGCTGGACCAAAGGGCAGGTGCTGGTGAAGGTCAACTCTGCAGGCGGTGAGCTGTGTGTCAAATAGGGTGGCCCCAAGGGAGGAGGGGCCCTCAGAGCCATGCCCAGATCCCCCAATTAAAGTCATCATCTTTATTGTCTTCATCACTGTTCATGATGCCTGGCATTTGTGGGAGGTTGGTGATGTCTCTTTAAAGTGCTTTAAATGTGGTGCTTGTCAGCATGCACTCTGGAGCCTGCTGCCCGCATCTGAACCCCGCTCTTTAGCGCCCTGTCTGCATGTCCTTGGGCACACAGGGTGCTTCATCTCCCCATGCCCTGTTTCGTCATGTGTAAAACGGGGGTGAGAAGAGGACATGCTTCATAGAGGAATTGTGAGGACCACATGGCTCACCTGTGGAAGTGTTTAGAACAGTGTCTGGCACATAGCACTCCTTAGGTATTAGCTGCTACTTGTATTCTTATCATGCTTGTATATTCACTTCATCCAATAACAATATTATGAGATAGGTACTTTTGTCCTATCTCAGACAAGGAAACTGAAGCTCAAAGGGATTAAGTGATTTTCCCAAGCTCACATAGTGAGTGTAGCTAGCCTTTGAGTTTAGCATGGTGGCTGGCACAAAAGCCAGGCTCCGAACATGGCAGCATGGATTTTTAAGACCCGCCTTTAGAGAACTTAAGGACATTAACAGCCACTGTTGTCTGTGAAGGATGCTGCACAGGTCTGACCGCGGGAGCCCAGGGTAGGCTGGAATTAGGGGTGTCCAGAGAAGAAGGGCAAGGAGTGGAGGCAGAAAAGCAAAACCTTCTCCCTTCAGGACCTGGGGAGACAGGATGAAGTCACCTGTGCCTACGTGCTCTGGAAGCATTGCCCTCTGGTGGCCACCTGGAGAGTTGCGGTTGCCCAAAGCCAACATCTATTGATACCCTACTCAGAGCCAGGTGCTGTTTAGAAAACAGATTTCTAGAGTGTTGTGATCAACACCCTTGTCAGTAACTGATATTTTATTACAACCCCCCTGCTATGTGTATATTTTCTTATAAGTCACATACATGCATTCTTACACTAATGTTATGTAATTAAACTGTACACTAAATAGAGGTACAAAACAGATGAGAAAACTAAATTGAAGTAGAAGAGCTAATGTTTTTCCTGGATGCGTGGATGGCCTTGTGTACCTAACTTTGAGGTTATGGTCTAGGAACTGAGGACTCAAATATGACTGAAAACACAGTCTCAGTCCACAAGAGCTGATGAACGTCAACACCAAGACTTCTGTAAAGGCACTTCCCAGTTTTCATAGAGCTTTTACATGTATCATATACGTGTAGCCACTATTTATATAAACTATTTCATTTGACTGCATAGTGAGGGCAACTTTTATTGTCTCCATTTGACAAAGGGGGAAACTGAGGCTCGGGGGGGGCTCCCACCTTGCCCAAGGTCTTTCTGTCTCACTAAGCATCCCCTTTCCTTCCCCTCCGGGAGTGTGGATGCATGGGCACGTGCACCTGTGCACTGAGAGCACCTGGCCAGGACTCTAACCCTGATACTGAGAGAAGGACCTCCCAACCTCCCAAACAGGGACTCCACCCTGCCTCCAGCGGCTCCCCGGCCTCACTCCCTGTCCCCACCTAGTGCATCCTCTGCTCTCTTTGCAGATGCTATTGGCCTGCAGCCAGATGCCCGTGGTGTGGCCACATCCCTGGGGCTCAACGAGCGGCTCTTTGTTGTCAACCCACAGGAAGTGCATGAGCTGGTAGGGTCAGGCAGGGTGCCAGGACCCAGGGCAGATCTGTGTTTTGGGGGTGGTAGGGATGGGCACTGAGGAGCGCGGGGCCTGGTTCCGACTGCTGCTGGGCCTTAAGTGGAGAGAGGAAGGAATGGGTCTCGGCTGATGGGGTATTCCAAAGGGTGCGGAGGGGCGTGCTGATTGGGAGCTCTCAAGGAGAAAGAGGAAGATCTGCTCCCATAGGGGCTCCCTAGGGGATAGGAGCCCTACAGGGAGGCGTCTCGGTATCAGGGAGCTGTCAGGAAGATGCCTCCTTGGGAAGCCCTATCATCTAGAGGCCCCTTCGCTGCCTGCAGCACCCCTGCCCTCCCCAACACTCTCTGCTCATGGGCACAGAGTCTACCCCAAACTCTTCTCCCGCCTGGTACTTTCCTCTGGACTCCTCGGGCACCCCCCTGAGTACTCTCCCCCCTGCAGACCCCACACCCTGAGCAGCTGGGGCCCACGGTGAGTTCTGCTGAGGGGCTGGACCTGGTGAGCGCCAAGGACCTGGCTGTCCAGCTGACGGACCACGACTGGAACCTCTTCAACAGCATCCACCAGGTGCGGGGAGCGGAGCTGAGGGGCGGACAGCAGGTGGCAGGCATCTCGAGTGGCCTGTGCTGATCTCTTGCGCTGCCCCCTCCCAGGTAGAGCTGATCCACTATGTGCTGGGCCCCCAGCACCTGCGGGACGTCACCACCGCCAACCTGGAGCGCTTCATGCGCCGCTTCAACGAGCTGCAGTACTGGGTGGCCACGGAGCTGTGTCTCTGCCCCGTGCCCGGCCCCAGGGCCCAGCTGCTCAGGAAGTTCATTAAGTTGGCCGCCCAGTGAGTGCCTGTGGGGATGCCCGGGATGTGTGGCAGAGTCCTTAGGCCACTTTTTCTTAAACCTCCCGGTCCCTGGTCAGGATGTTGCCAAATCTGGATGTTGTCTTGAAGTGGGGCTCTGTGGGTACGGCTGCTTCCCCTCAGGGTCTCTGGTTCTTCCGCTAACAGCCTCAAGGAACAAAAGAACCTCAACTCCTTCTTTGCCGTCATGTTTGGCCTCAGCAACTCGGCCATCAGCCGCCTGGCCCACACCTGGGAGGTAGGTGTTTCCTGGGGGGTGGCCAGGCCCTCCCCCCACCCCAGTCCTGAGGTTGGACCCCAAGCCCATCCTGGGGACAGGACCCCAAGCAGCCTCATCTCCATCTACCTCTCTTTTGCAGCGGCTGCCCCACAAAGTCCGGAAGCTGTACTCGGCCCTGGAGAGGCTGCTGGTGAGTGCTGGGCCGCGGCCTGTCCCTCCAGAAACCCTGCTTCTTGGCTTCCCAGCAGCCCCTCTACTTGTCCTTGGTCACTGCCAGGGTTTCCAGCCCTGAGCCAGGACCTGGTTCTCTCTTGCCTGTGAGTGTGGGGAGCTGGCTGAAGAATGGATGTGTAGCATTATGGAGGGGGTGCATAGGGTAGTCTGTCCCCCAGGATGTGGGGATTAGGGAGGCACATTTGCTGTGGCTCTGAGGTCCTGTGTGAAGACCAGGACGGCACATGCGGTATCTGCCCTGGGTTGGAGGTGCCAGGGGAGCACCGGGACTCAGGAAGCAGGTTCCGACACCAACACCCACAGTGTACCAGGGCCTGGCTCCAGGAGCCTGTGGTCAGACTAGGCCAAAAGGCGAGGAAAAAGTTGAGGAGCGGAACTCCAACTCCCAAGAATTGTTAGGGGGGTTGAAAGGTTTTGACAGTGTTCAGGAGAGAACTGGCTCAGAGGTGTTCTTATCAGTATGGCTCTGGGAGCTCTTGAGTGAAAAATTCACCTGGTGGGGCTCAAGAGGGTGAAAGGAACTCACCTGCCAGAGATGGGGAGGGTTGGAGGGTGGGGAGACAGAGAGAGAGAGAGAGAGAGAGAGATCCAGAATGCTCAGGGCCCTGTGACTAATGGCTATGAAGTTTCCTTGGCGGCTAATTGGAAGCCAGGAAGCCACATGCACACATGGCCTTCCTGCTTGCCACAGAGCCTGCCTTGGTGAGACCTGTGGCTGAGCAGAGGCTGAGCTCCAAGGGTGGGCATATGCCCCTTCTTGGAGGGGCGGTGGGGGGGTAGCATTTGGTTGTGTGTGGTGAGCTATGGTGGGGGGGACCTTCTCTTTCTCACTGTGACTTCTTTCCTCCCAGGACCCCTCATGGAACCACCGAGTGTATCGACTCGCCCTCACCAAGCTCTCCCCTCCTGTCATCCCCTTCATGCCCCTCCTTCTCAAAGGTAATGGGACCAGAGCTTACCTTCCAGCCTCCATCCTGTCATGCATTCCTGCGCCTGTATGTCTGCATGTCCACCCAACCCTCTCTGAGCGATTCCAATGTGCTGACACCTTGAGGGGCACAACGACGAATTAGGAGTTCACAGGCTAGAAGTTCACAGGCTAGAAGTTCACAGGTTAGAAGTTCGCAGGCTAGAAGCAGAGTCAGCACATGCAGACAGGCATTGGTGACATCAGATGGCCTCTGCTATGAGGCCTAAGAGATACAAGAAAATTGCTCCAGGAGTTGGAGGGGAGCCAGAGGAAGAGGGCAGTGGGGGGCGGGGGTGGGGGGCGGGTAGGGGATGAGGCTCATTATTGGCCCTTCACCTTTCTTGGATTGCTGAAGGGGAAAGGCGTTTGGGGATCTTTGAGCACAACCAGTTTCTTTGCAGACATGACCTTTATCCATGAGGGAAACCACACTCTGGTGGAGAATCTCATCAACTTTGAGAAGATGGTGAGTTCCAGGAGAGCAGTCGCCTCCTACTGGATTGGGTTGGGGGCTATGACTATGGAAGAAAGTGCGGGGGCAGGGGGTGGGGGAGGGGCGGGGGGATGTTAGGAGATGGTCTAAAGTTATTAATAACATGAATGTGAAGACTTATTTTAAATTAGCCCTTTTGTAACTCCATTGTATACTGGAGAGCCTGCTCTATTGGGGGTGCTGGGGGGCAGCCTCAGCTATCTCACCCTTCAACGACAGCCCCTCCCAGGCCTCTTCCTCTCTGGGCTCTTCCTGACTTCTGCTCTCCCACTTCCTGGTTCCTGCTGGGCCTCTGCCTGTACTGGGGCAAAGGAGACATGCCCCCCTCTCCCACCTACCCCCATAGCCTTTTAGCCTCTAGTTCAGGGGTGGGCAACCCCTGGCACACGTGCCAAACTGGCACGCCAGTAACTTTTGCTGGCACGCGAAACCCTCTCTTATAATCCTCCATTTACATTTTTTTCTTAATATCGACTTTTTTATTTTTCAGATAAATTCAGTGTAGGTACATCTTAGATAAATAATTTTACATAACATGTATACATTAAAAAATAAATGTATTTTTCATCATCATATACTGTGTTTTTGTCGCTCGAATGAATTTTATTATTTCTTCAAGGTTCTTCACATACGTACACCTTAAGAGATATCAAGTAGGCGTAACATGTTCTCAAAAAATTAGGGTTGGCACGCAGAAGAATTTTGAGTCAGAGATTTTGCTGGTTTGGGCACGCACGCACAAAAAGGTTGCCCACCCCTGCTCTAGGTGCACCCTGCTCTCAGGGAGCTTGGGTTCCCAGCTGCCCCACAGGCCAGGCCGGGGTTCTGCTCTCAGGCCTGGTCTCATGTCCTTGCTTTGTCCGCAGAGAATGATGGCCAGAGCTGTGCGGATGCTGCACCACTGCCGAAGCCATAGCAATGGTGAGAGGGCTGGTCCCCCTGGGTAGGTGCCCCCCAATGCCCCTTTCCAGGCTTGGCTGTGTCTTCCTGACTCCCACCTCTCTCCTACCCAGTGCCTCTCTCACCACTCAGAAGCCGCGTCTCCCACCTCCATGAGGACAGCCAGGCAGCGAGGGTTTCCACGTGTAAGTGGGGCAGGGTGGGTGCTGATGTGTTAACGTGTTTAGGCACTTGCATACATGATACATCTATGATACCTGCTGATAGCTTCACAGCACCTCTATGACATAGGTGGAATGTTATCCCAACTTAAAGATGCACAAACAGGCTTGATGTTAAAATAACTTGCAGAAGCCACACAACCTTGGTGTATCAGGACGATGCTCTAACCAACTGAGCTACCTGGCCAGGTCATTTTCTTGTTCTTTAAAATAGCTTTATCATTCACACACAGATACATACATTATACACACACACACACACACACACACACACACACACACACTTTTAAATGCCTCATATAATCCTATATAATAAAAGGCTAATATGCAAATTGTCCCCTCAACTGGGAGTTTGACCAGAGGGCAGGGCCGGCCGGCCAGTTGCCCATAGCCCCTCCCTCCGAAGAGCCCACCCAATCGACCATGATCAGGGTGGGCTGGCTGGACCCCACCCATGCACAAATTTGTGCACCAGGACTCTAGTGGGGCTTTGACTTACGAGTGTCCCGACTAACCAGTTTTTTGAGATACGAGCTGTCTCTCGGCCGATTTTTTGCTTTGAATTGCGAGCTAAAATTTGGGTTATGAGCCAGCTTCAGATACCCCACCGCTAGTTGGTGCAGCGAACGTCACAGTGAACGCCACATCAGCCCAGCATCACGTGTCTCACTCGTTCACTTTAAGATTTGACATACGAGTAATTTGAGTTACGAGCTCCATCACGGAACGAATTAAACTTGTAAGTCAAGGCCCCACTGTATATATATATAATGCCTCATATATTATATATATATATATATAATGACAACAGAATAATCTTTAGTTTTCGTTGTTTTTAAACTTAGTAAAAGAGATACTATGCTATATGTAATCTTGGGGACCTGTTCTTCCTGTCTTAACCGACTGCTGTTCTGGCCCCAGATCAGTGGGGGGTGGGAGAGCAGTCTTCAGGGCTCGGGTGGGAAGTGGCTGGGTGGGTGGTGCAGAGTGGGAAGTGGCAGGGAGGGTGGTGGAGGGCAATAAGGCCGATTTGCTCCTCGGAGGGGGAAGAGATGGGCTCTACAAAGCAGGGTTCAGGCCCTCCCTGACAGCCTCCCCCATCCCGCCAGGCTCGGAGCAGTCCCTGAGCACCCGGAGTCCAGCCAGCACCTGGGCTTATGTCCAGCAGCTGAAGGTCATCGACAACCAGCGGGAACTGTCCCGCCTCTCCCGGGAGCTGGAACCTTGACGAGGGGGCTGGGCTGGAGCAGCAGGCACTTCCCACCTGGAAAGCCAGGGCACGCCTGGGCCCAGGGGCCCGCAGGCCGGCCGCAGCTGGGCAGGGCTCTCCGAGGAATGGACTTGAGGCCCTGGATCGGGCAGCGTGGAGGCATCTGTCCCCTGTCATGATTGTCGGCCGAGGAGGACCTCAGAGTGGAATGCGCGGAGGCCCAAGCCAAGGAACGGGGGATAGAGAGGCCAGAGTGGGTGGGAGAGCAGAGCAGGCGCTGGGACTCTGTGTTCAATAGAGAGCTCTCCACACCAGGTTTTTTCCAGACTCTGTGCCTCGTGGCTTTGTTGTCCAGCCATCTCCTGGCCCCTGTGGTGTGTTTGCACAGTGGACTGCGAGTGTCTGCATTTGTGTGGCATGTGTGTAGCAGGGGCAGGGCCGGTGGTGGGGAGGGCAGGGCGGGAAGGGGCAGCCCAGCTTTTCTTTCCATAGCACAGGAGAGAAACAACTGGGTGTGGTCAGGGCTGATTGTGCAGGAGTGGTGGTCCCTGAGAAGCCCTATTGTTACCATAAACTAACAGAGATGCCTGTGTGTGAGAGCCCAGCCCTGTGGGGTGTGGCAGGGAAGGCGAGGAGCTGAGGAGGAGGTGCTGTGCCCTGGAGTGGACCCAGAGAGGCTGACGGAGCAGCTCCATGGCTGTGTGTGGTCTCTGGGACCCAGGCAGGGCTCCCAGATGGCTCACGGCTGTCCATTTTACACCCCCCAACCCCTCCACCCCCTCCGGGCACAGCACCTGCTGGAGCCTGGAGCCCGTCACTGGCTGGCCTGGGTAACCCTCTGCTCTTCACGGTGGTCTGAGGGGACCGTGACAGCCCAGCTACAACTATCTCCTTCCACTGCCTCCTCCGCTCCGCTTCCTGTCCCTCGGCCTGGTGCACATCTTGGCAGAGGCTTCCGAGGGGAGTCCATCCCTTGCTGAGGCCTAACAGGCTTCCAGGAATTAGGCTTTCTCATCGGTGGCAGAATGGCCCCAGCCGGCTCTGTCAGCATTGAGTCCTCTCTTCAGCATGTGACTGGGAACCAGTGGCTCAGAGGACCCCTTCCACTGCTCTCTGCTCCCCATGGGCCTGGGCCTGGCAGGGGGAGGTGCACTGTCTGGCCCCACGAGGGGCCTCTTGGCCTTGGGGATGACCCTGGGGTAGGTGTTGAGCTGCAGGGTCCAGGGCATGTGGAGGAAGTGGGCCCTGCATTTGCACAGCAGGTACATCTACCAGGGCTCAGGCTAGACATCCCTACACACACCTCCCCTCACCCCTAAAGCGCCAGACCTCATCCCCATGCTCAGGGACTCATGCAAGCTGATTCCGGGCAGCGCCAGACGCTTAGCGACAGGCAGCACAACTGGGATGAAACCTCAGGTTTCTGAGTGAACCTGAGCCAGTCAATGAACAGTTTTCTGCCTCCATTTCTCCGTCTGTGAGATGGGTGTGATGATCTTAGTCCAGTTCTTGGCGAAAAAGCAATCAAACTGCAGCTCTGCCTCCAGAGCCCACGGGACAGCTGTGGGCTGTCCTGTGTCCTCAGCCTGGCGGAGATGCCTCCTTGTGGGCGGAGTCAGACAGAGCCCACTCCCCCCCGGGAGAACCTGGCGTGGAGCAGGTGGCAGCGGTAACCAGACCAGTTCCTTTGCCCGAAGAGGAGGTGGAGGAACCCCTGGGCACAGAAGCTTCCAGAGCTGAGCAATCATATAAGGCTGAGCCTCAGCCTGAGTGAGTCAGGACTCCCAGTGGCTTTCTTCTCTTCCAAACCCATTGTTGTCAGGGCTTCGGCAAGGCCGGCCTGCCCTTCACCATCCTGAGACCCAAGGGCAAGACCAGCCTTGCAGCGACACAAGCCAAGCGAGGAGGGGGCTGTGTCCCCATCAGTGTTTCTCCTCTGTGGTCACACCTACGTCCCTGAAGGACTTGGGCACCTTTTGCATCTCCCTCAGCCTTGGACTGCCCTGCAACATCCCAGCTGCTCCGTCTCTTGGGCGGGACACCTTGGAGCCTGTGGGAGAGGCCTTGCCAGGAGACCGGTGCCCAGGGTGGCAGGAGGACACTGACTTGGCGCTGAGGCCCCAGTGACCAGGCTTCGTCACCGCAGAGGTGGGAAAGGCTCCAGTCACAATGACTCCAGCTCTGAGGGGTGTTGCCTGTCTCCCTCACTGCCCAGGGGTGGGGTGGGTGGGGTAGGTGGGGTGGGTGGAGTGGGCAGGATGTCCTGGCAGCCCAGGCTGTGTGTAGGGCTCTCAGTATGTGTCCCAGCCTCAGGGGAACCCTGAAGGGAGGAGGAATTCATGGGAGGCTGAGAGAAGGAAGTGCAAGGTCAAGCCTTTAAAAAACCGTTTACCTAAAAGGTGAAGCAGAGGGGATGTGTGTCCTGTGGGAGAGAACAGAAGGGAGGGGGTAATCCCTTCTCTCAAATACTCACACGCCTCCCCCTCCCTTACCTCTTATCCTTAGCTTCCCTGTACAGGCCTGAGGCAGGCTGGGGACCAGGCCAGGACTGTAATTGTGGGGTGCACACCAGGGAGGGGCACGTCTACAGCAGGCTAAGCAGGATCTGGTGAAGGGGTAGGGCAGGATGGGGAGTCCAACCCTCCAGCTGCTGCAGCTCCATTCCCTGGGAGGGAGTCCTCCCCTCTCTCCTAGTCCCACCTTGGGTCTCTAGCTGCTCTGTTTTTTGTATTTCATTTTATGAGAGAGAGAGAGAGAGAGAGAGAGAGACAGAGAGAGAGAAAGAGAGAGAGAGAGAGAGAGATGGATGTGAGAGATAGGAATATTGATCAGTTGCCTCCTGCACACACCCCGACTGGGGATCAAACCCACAACCTGGGTATAATGCCCTGACTCAGAATTGAACCCAGGAACCTTCAGTGCACAGGATGATGCTCCAATCAACTGAGCCACACTGGCCAGGACAAAATTAGGTTTCTTAATAGAGCTGTTGTTCCCAGTACTTATCATGCTAATCAATTTGAATTGTTTCCATCCTTTCTAGCACACTTTCACTTCTATTATCTTTTTACCCTGATGATGGGGAGGCATTTTTACCCCTGTTTACAGTCAAAGAAATTGAGGCACAGGAAGATTTGCCTGAGGTCACATTACTGGTTAATAGCAGGTGGGTTGGTGAAAGGGCTGGATGTGTTTCCGCCATGCCTATGCCATGGGCCTTGCTCATCCGTGCCCTTTCCTTGTGCCCCGGAACTCCAGCATTTCATAGGCCCAGGCATATAAACTCCCCTTTCCCATCCTCCCTCCCTCGCTCCCTTCATTGTGGAGTCCTTACTATGGGCCTGGTAGAGGCTCTGTGAAAGATACAGGCAGTCCTGGCTCCCCAGGGAACAGACCAGCCAGCTGGGCAGATGGATGCAGAGCAAGGCCAGCAGAAGGGACAGGGTGCCTCAGAGGGCAAGTCCAGAGCGCGGGGGAGGCCTCATTTGCAGGGCTCACTGCTCACCCGCAAGCAATCAGGCCCACGGCCGCTCCACTTTGGAATGCAGGTACACAGCCCCCGTCACTGCCCACCCCGCTCCCAGAGCCCTGCACACCAGTGGCGATCCTCTGCCTCCCGGAGTTGGGGGCTCTCTCAGCTCCCCACTGGTACAAGCCACCAGATGTAGTAGGGCTGGTGGCTCAGGCAAAAGCTCTCACCTGGCTATTGTTCCTGATCCCTCCCTCCCTTCCATGGACAGATAGGCCAGAAAGTACATGCATTTCCAAATGTGTCCTTATACCTGCCCCATACCCTTCTCACATCTGCCAGGCCCACGGGCTTGAACTACATGGGTGTCTACTCAGGCCTGTCCAGTTGCCCCAGGCACCCCTCTCTGAGGTCCTGGACTCTTCAGGACCTGAGCCTCGCCCTCCTGCTGCCCAGCTGATGGGGCAGGGAACCCGAGGGCAAAGGAGCTTTCTTCCCCGGGGGGGGGGGGGGGGGGAGCAGGGGGGCGGGGGGGGGTAGGGTGGCGGGCGGTGGCTGCCGTCCCTCCCAGTGATGATGCTGACAGCAGCTCACTCTGGGAGCTGTGCTTGGAGAGCTTGGAGTCTGACTCAGCTGTGCTGAGAGAGCACCTTCTCTCCCTGCCCTGGGCCTTCCTGGGGCAGGCGGGCCCATCTCCCATTGATGGAGCCGGAGGAGGCTGCTCTGCTGATGGCGGCGGGTGGAACAGGGAGGCAGGAGCATGGGCCCAGAGACCCCCAGGAGGAGGAAGAAGGCCAGACTCAGAGCCCAGACCCACTTAGTTTTACAGGCAAGTTTACTGGTCGCTCATCTGTGTTTAGACTGACCGGCATGGACCCCGGGCCAGGAGCCTGGACATGCAGGCCCTTGCCTGACCACCGTGCTCTTGGCTCTGGGGCCGTGCTCAGGGCCTCGGTGCTCTGGCTCTGGCATGAGCTGTGGGCAGCCCCATGTTCCCAGGCTGCTGGGTGGAGGAGAGGGCAGGCTTTCCTGGCACTCAGAGGACTCTGGGTAGCAGAGGGGCTGACAGAGGGTGACATTTGCTAGGGCCATGGCAGCAGGACATGTTAGGCTCTTTCTGCCTCCAGAAAAGTGCCCTGTGAACCAGAGCTTGAGGCAGCACAGGCAGGTGGCAGGTGGTCCTCTCACAGTGAGCAGTCCGGGGCGGACGGGGGGGGGGGGGGGGGGCGGGGGGCGCGCGATGAGGAGCCTTGGACACAGTGGCCACAGGCTTTGGGCAAGTCCCTTTCTCCCTCTGTGCTGGGGTCCAACCCCAGCAGGTCCAGGGGTCCCCAAAGGTGTGGACAGAGTCGGCGAAGAAGGAATGACACGGAGACAGCGTTCAGTTGATCAGCAGCCTAGCCAGGATCTCCAGCCAAGTTCTGGTCTGGATCTCCAGCAAAGTACTAGTCTTTATTGTCTTGTTACATCTGTATTTATACCAGTTGATTTTAATCCTGTCAATTTCTATTCCAAAGGTTAGGGCGTTTCTTATCTTCATTCCAGGGAGTAAAGATTATGTAGTTTAAGCGTGATTGTTTGTAGTTAAAGTGATTAACTACCCGCTTGGCACTTAGTTAAGTTTTATCCCCTCCCTGACTTCAGGGAAAAATCCCTACCTGGGGAAACAACCTTTCTCGGAGAGGTGACCTTGGTTAAAACACACAGCGCTAAGGGGAGCAAACATATTAAGAACAGTATGCTATATACGCCAGGTCCCTTGAAACATATGCTGTGCAGATGTTTCTTTCCTGCAGCGACTGTGTCAAACAGCAAGGATGGATTGGCTTCCGGCACCTCTGGGCCTTAGTTTCCTTACTTACAGAGACTTGGACGCGGTAGGTGAGGGGATGTGTTCCTGCATTTAGTGTCTATGACTTAGGCAGCTCAAGCCATCATA